TCAGAAGAAGTGCCCTAAATCAGGCATTCTGTAAAATATAGAATAGCTACTTAATCCATCTCTTCATAAGTGAACTCACCCACATATTTTTTTTTAAAAAAAAAATTCTCTCCAGTTTAATCCTTAGTTTCCTTTTTCTTGCATCAATTCCCTATAAGCTTTCATTTATTACATTCCCTCTTCCTCTCTTTAGGGATAAGTGGAAACTGATCACACATGTTCATTGTTTGCTCTTTCCACAGCAAATTCGATGGAAGAATTGAGTGGCATTAGCCGCCCTGAAACCTGCCTCATTTCTTCCTTTCCTGCCTGTGAAAGTAGAGAGCTCTTCTTGGGGAGAGTTATAGCATCATATCATTTGGGCCCGTCATCAGCGGGCAGTGCCTGCTACTCTTGGAACAGAAACCAGCACCTGGGCACAGGTAGCTTCAGACTGATTTTCTGTCTAAGGCACATCATCTAAGGACCAAGATCTAACACTGACTCATGAGAAAGATGCTCTCTACCTGGTGCTCATGTGAAGGTGGGAGCCCATATGGGTTAGATCTCTCTTGGTTTGAGAAAAGTGACTGCTCCTGAAAGGAAGTTCTCAGACTAAGAGGAAGAGGTGTCACAGGGTGGCTACTCCATTGTACTCAATTATGGACATTAACAGTTTTCCTGTGAAGGAAGTCACAACAGAACCTAAATGGCTGTCTTCCCAGGGCCTCAGGAAAGGGTGCCAGTATTGCTCAGGACCTGCTGGAGAGACGTTCTCAAATCAGACTGCACAGAGCCCTCTGCTTTATGACAGACACTGCCCAGATGTTGTGTTTCTTCAGCCAGTTTCCCTCTGCTGCTTCAGTCTACTCTGTCCAAAAATGTAGGGTTCCTCTCAGCTGCACACTGAGATGACCTTGTTGAGGTGATAAGACATCCCTCTTATCTTCTCCTTCTGTCGAAGCCCACAGCTTGTATGGAGTTCAGATTCAGCAGGGCTGGGAGCTCTCCCTTTAGGAAAATTTAATTATTTCACCAGAAGTGTTCAGAAGTTTCACCTGGGCTAAACTCAGCAGAACTTCTGTGAGTATATCTATATGGAGGTTTTTTTTTTTTTTTTTACACACTTGGCTTTTGAGAGGATGTTGTATAATGCTAGTTTCAGCCCTATACCCATATTAGCCTCTCTTCTGTGACTCGACTGGGCTTTCTTGACATGCCTAGACTCCTAATAAAGCCATTTCGTCCTTGGTGCCTTTTCTTCCCTACCCAGTTGTTTTGTGGAGAATGGTGAAATAACTATTCAGTATTTAGTTTGTGTCCATGACTGAATTCAGTAGCCTCTTAGCACCTGTCCGAGTGGTTATTGGGCTGGATGGTGAACAGAACACTAAGCTGGGAAATAGAAAACCTGACTTGTTTTCCCAGCTCTGCCACTGATAGGCTTTATGAACTTAGCTTCATCTGAAAAATGGGGGCATGATAGTCTGTGACCTTGTAGAGTTCTGAACTCCTCTGGAGTGGGTGAAGTGGTAGAAAGAGAAGAAAAAAAAAGAGACGATGCTGCTTCAGAGGCATACAGTATGCTTTACAGTAACATGGTTCTCAGGAACATTAGCAGTATTCAGGATATTTTTATTACCACATTTGGGAGAAGCAAGAGATTCTGCTAAATACCCTATAATGGCACAGGACAGCCTCACCAACAGATTACCTCCCCGAAATGTTAGTAATGTTAATAATGAGAAACCCTGGTTTTTGTTTTTTGTTTTTTGTTTTTTTTTTTTTTGGTGGAACCAGGGATTGAACTCAGACCCTTGCGCATGCCAGGGAAGCGCTTATTCCACTGAGCCATCTCCCCGGCCCCGAGAAACCCTGTTTTAAGGGAATTAGATTGCATGTCTTGCTTCTCCATGTTATAATCACCTTTGCAATTTCATGCAACTTCATATTTAGTTCCTTTCCTATTACCCTTGCTCTTGAAGAAATAGGAATTTATTGCTAAACTCTGTTAAAGTTTTTGGCTTAGCTTCAGACAAACCGTGGTAATTTATTAACTATTATGTCAGTTACAGGTCAGTCAGAAGAACAGAGCACTAGGAATATATATACATCATCTAATCTGACATTCGTTACAGGGATCTTATTTAGGTAGGGGAACTGGATAAACAGTCTGCAGAAGATAATTGTTTTCCCATCTGGTTGTTGAGCTTGAAATTCATGGAGCAGGCATCAGGAAGGGAAAGCGTTTGTAAAGTGAGTGATAGCATGGAGAGCCAGAGCCATGAAAATAGACCAGGACTCACCTTTATGCTCACCACCTCCAACTTTGATGGAGTAGGTGTCCTGCAGAAGCTGGTGGCCTAGGAATAAGCAACTGTCTCTAGAGAAGAACAGCAATTACAGGCCCAGCTGCTACCCCACGCCAGGAAGGTAGTGACAGTAATGTGTGTGAACTATAGAAGTGCATGCCCCAACTTTGCAAGATGAAACACTAGTTGCTGTTTCATTTCTACCTAGATTTTGCACAAAATCCTCTGGTTCCCCATAAGCCAAATTACACAAGGAAGGGAATTCTGGAGAAGAGACCTCAGCCTAACCAAGTCATATTATACATTACAAAGCTACAGCTGAGTCTATTTTTGAGAATGCGTAAAGGCTAGGCCTAGAATTCATGTCTGTTGAACTAAATATGTGCTACATTAGTCATGCTGATCTAGGAAGTTGTATATTCCTCTCTTTTTTGGATCAGGAAACATCACTTACAACATTAAGATGCCCTACCACAGTATTTTGGTGTAAGGAAATGTTTCTTAGATTTGATAAAAATGTCTATGCTTTTCACTTCAAGTGCTAAGGAAGTGGCTTAAAAGGTTATGCTAACCTGTGGCATAACATCCTTACTGTGAGGTTTTGGGCAAGCCAGACAAAAGGACCCTCACTGTATGATTTTATTAATATGAAATACTTGGACTAGGTACAATATGTCCCTAAATAGCAGATTGGTGGCCTCAGGTGGGAAAGTAGAGGGAGTCATTGCTTAAATAGGGTTTCCTTGTTCTAGAACTAGAGATAGTTGCAAAGCATTCTCAACGTACCACTAAATGATTCACTTTAAATTGGTTTCTTAGGGCTGGCGAGATAGCTCAGCAGACTTAAGTGTCTGCCTAGGCAAGCACAGGGACCAGGGTTCAGTCCCTGGCACCACATGCCATGCTGGGCCTGCCCTCAGGTACGCTGAGCCAGTGACTGACTTGGGGCATGGTGGCATACACCTGTAATCCCAAGCGCTGGAGAGGCTAAAAACAGGAAAATCACTATGGTCTGAGCTGTGTAGTGAGATCCTGCATAAAACACATTAAAAATAAATAAATAGGTTTCTTTTTCTTCAGATGGTCTCACTATGTTGCACCTGATATTGAAATAGGTAACTCCAGGCTGGCATGCAACTTATAGTGATCCTCCTACCTCAGCCTCCCAAGTATTGGAATTATAGGTGTGTGCCACTATGCCTGGCATAAAATGACTAATTTTGTTAGGTGATTTTCACCTAAGTAATTTTTGTTTTTAAATTTAAGAATACTAAAGGGCCGGGGAGATGGCTCAGTGGAATAAGTGCTTCCCTCGCAAGCGCAAGGGTCTTGAGTTCAATCCCCGATTCCACCAAAAAAAAAAAAAAAAAAAAAAAAAAAAAAAGAATACAAGAGACTTGAGTAGTTTCAAATTCTGATCTTAATTTTGTCATTACTACAACATTGATCACTGATTTCTTAAATACAAAAAGAAGGGTTTAGTAGTATATGTATAATATTTGAGTCTGCAAAATAAACCCCTAGAAATACTAAATCTTGTGTTGAGAATACTGGCCTAGTATAGTACACCTACAAATAGTAAGAGGAACTTGTATCCTCGTATTCAGGTCAGGAAAACCTGTAGGTGGGTCTGAGCCCTTTAAATATCAGACTGAAATGATCTGGTAGCTAAGAAGCCATAGTGACGACTTTCTTGGATAATTCTTAGAAATGTAACTTTTGGGGGCTGGGAGATGGCCCAGTGGAATAAGCGCTTCCCTGGCAAGCACACAGGCCTCAGTTCAATCCCCGGTTCTGCCAAAAAAAGAAAGAAAGAAAGGAAGGAAGAAAGGAAATTTTTTGCCTGTCTGGATCAGAAGCACTGAGTAGTAGAGCTCTGCCTCAGACAGGGTGTGTGGTGGTGGTTGATCTCAGTTTGGTTAGTGAGAGATGTGTGTAGATGGTTTTATATACCTCAAGGTTTTTCTTAAAAAATTATTTTTTCCATAATTTTATTGAGAGACAAATAGCAGTGAGATAGTTTCAAATCAAATTGGTATGATAGTTTAAATAATTAACACATTGCATACTCTCTTCCTAGTAGTTATTTGCTGTACAAGATGCAGACATGATATCCTATTTACAAACACTATTAGAACAAATCCATCTATTCATTAAGAGAATGTAACTATATATCTATCCTAACCACTTTGAATACACAGATACAAAATGGACATTCATCTGTTATCCCCTTTTTTGTTTAGTTCTGTCATTTGAATATTATAGGTATGTTAACTCAGCAAAATATTCTAAACGAGTCCAGTAGTCCATAATAGTATTGGGTCTTCCACTTCACTGGCAGTGTCAGAAATTGTTGACCTGAGTCCCCTACAGCTCAATTCCTTAAAAATCTAGATGCTTCAGCATTAGATAAAGGACAGTGATACTTACCTGGTGCTCTTTTCTACTCTGTAGGGAACACAGAGTCTGGTGAAAAGGGGGACTTTCTTTTTTTCTTTTTTAAATATTTTATTTATTTACTTATTTTTACATATATTTATTGTGTGTGTGTGTGTGTGTGGCCAGCTCAGCCCACCAGGGGGCGGGGCTGGCTGGGCGGGGCTGGCTGGCATGTGGTGCTGGGGGATTGAACCGCGGTCCCTGTGCTTTGCCAAGCTTGTTCCAAGTAGGTGCTTTAGACCGCTGAGCCATCTCACCAGCCCTGGGATTTTCTTTGAAATGAGGTCTTGTGTGTGTGGTCATATTTCTGAAGCCTACAGCATAGAAGGGAGGCCATCCTGGCCTAAGGACATCTCTAAAACCTGTTGCCAGTGGAAATTCATCTGCTGAAAACATGCCTACAGCCTGAATTTGACTGAGATAGGGGCTAACCCTCACCATCACAGGTGCTTGTGACCTCAGCATATACATCATCATACATAAGGCCTCCTGCATAAGCCCTTGTTCTTCCAGGATAGGGAGCCAAATTGAGTGGTGTGTGTCACTGCAGGGTATGGTGGCTTTGAAATGGACATATTAGAGGACCTTAAATCCCTGCAGTTTGAGTATGGGATTTCAGAGGAAGATCGCTCCTGGCTCTATTTGCGGGGCCGTTCTCGGGGATTAATGATTGAGGCATGTGCCCATGCAGTCTTCTTCTGCAAAGTATTCCGTAGTTTGAGGTAAGCTCTATCGAAGTTAAAGATAAATAAGATCTCATGGCTGAGAATCTAATTGACTTAAACTTTTTATATTGGAGGATAAATGTAGCAAGTGGATTGTTTTCTTACCCACAATCACAACTTATCTAAAAAGGACTATGAAAATTCATTCTGAGTCCCCTGGGAATGGTTATATAGTAGAGCAAATAGATCAATGATAATGTCCTTTCAATGGGTAGACTTGATTAAATGATCATTCATTGATTCATTTACCCGTTTGGATTACCAGCTTATGCTGCATAGCAGTTAATGACTAGCCATTCCTTGTCTTTTGGCTACAGTGAAGGCAATTGTTTAATTTGGGGTCAACCTAATAGTGAATCACTCCACTGAAGGAATGCCACCTGGCATTTTGCACTTCCTATAACTGGGTAACTTTCTTAGAACAGGTGATTTTTGGAGAAGTTCTCAGTCTGGTCCTGGTTTCTGATACTTTTCTGCAGTGTGGCTTCAGACAGTTGAATAGAAGGTGTGTATGAAAAAAATACCTAGAATTGGGATTCTGTATATGTAACTTCCGGTATCTTCTGGAGTGTAGGTCATTTCATTCTACTCATTTGTTTGTTTATTTATTTGAAATTAGATAAATTACATGGACTGGATATTTTGTTTAAATTTTTACTTTTATCACTACATGTTTGCAGTACATAATGATTACATTCATTGCAGGGAGTTGTTACATGTAGATGACACTTCTTAATTCTTTTTCTCCTTTCTTTCCTTCCACTTCTCTCTTTCTCTATCTTTTGTACCCCTTCCTTCCCTTTTGCAAAAAATCTACCTCCCAATCTCCTGTTATTTTTTTATATTTTTATTTTCTCACATGGGACCAGATCTGAATTGATCATATTTATATGTATACTCCAAGAGACAGGCTTTTAAGGCCAGCCAGATAGCTCAGCGGATTAAAGCACCTACTTAGGCAGAGGCAGATGTACATGCAGGGGCTGGGGTTTGATCCCTGGTGAGTTGTGCCAGCCCCACCCCCAGGGTGTGCTGAGACTGCCACTGAGACTGAGCATGGTGGTGCAGGCCTGTGATTCCACCACTTGAGAGGATGAAAACAGGAGGATCGCTGTGAGTCTGATCTGTGTAGTGAGACGCTGTAGACCCTGTACTAAATACATTAAAAAAAAATGGACAGGCTTTTTAATGAGTTTGCTTATTGGTCTATTGATAAGGATACATAAACTTGGGCTGGCCAAATAGCTCAGCGGATTAAAGCACCTGCAAGCAGACACAGGGGCTGGGGTTTGATCCCGGGCCAGCCATGACAGGTGCGCTGAGACAGCGACTGAGACTGGGTATGGTGGTGTATACCTGAAATCCAAGCACTTGAGAGGCTGTAAACAGGAGAATCATGAGTCCAGTCTAGTAGTGAGACCCTGAATACCCTGTAGACCCTTCCCTAAAATACAGGAGAAAAAAAAAAGATACATAAACTTATTGGTTGAACCAAAGTCTCTAATTTTAATGAAATACAGAAAAATAATGTCATCTGTAACATAAAAGTAATACTATATGTATTCTGAGGTCAGCCTTTGTTAACCATGGGCCAAAGAAACACATCCAGAACCAACAAACAGGAAGTGAGTTCCTGAAAAGGTTGGTCAAATCCTTATCCTCAATTTTTTAGATCTGTTTGCTTTTGTAAACCATTTACTCCTATATTGTAACACTCTTAAAAAGCAAAGCTACTTGGCATGGTGGGACACGCCTGTAATCCCAGCACCTGGAAGGCTGAGGCAGGAGGATTGCTATGAGTTCAAGGCTAGCCTGGACTACAGAGCAAGACCCTGTCTTAAAAAAAAAAAAGGAACTAGGCAAGTATAAAATCATTAATAGCTTCAGTGAAAGGATGAAGAAAAATGATTGCAGTTTATTTGAGGTCCCTTTCCTAAACCAGTACAACTTGGTATGATCAAGAAAAAAAAAAAAATACCATCCAGGCATGGTGGCACATGCCTGTAATCCCAGCACTGGGGAGACTGAAAACAGGAGGATCACTATGAGTCTGAGCTGCATAGTGAGACACTATACCAAATACAAAAATTAAAAAATAAAAACAAAAGAAAATAATATCCAATTGGTAGATTTTACTTTGATAAGAAAGAGAAATGTGAAATGTACAGATAAACCCTATGTAGTGGTTGACAGTTTGTGTCAACTTGAGAAGGTAAAAGCTTAGCTGAATCAGCTCAGCAGTTTACTCTGGGGTGTGGAAGCCCCACCCTCCAGTGACTCATCACTTAAAGGATGTAAAAGGGAATTGAGGAAGGATGGAGCATTGCATTTCCTCAGAGGAGGAGCTCCAGTCTTCACAATTTGGAGAGTATCTCCTGGCTTCTAGCACAGACTCTTTGGCCTTCTCCTCGGATCTTTTAGCCTTCTGGTGTAGATGCATTAGCCTTCTGTAGCAGACCCATCAGCCTCGTAATATGGACTTGTATGGAACACAGCATTGAGCTCCAGACCTTGGACTGAATCCTTTCTCCAGTGTGTAGACACCCTTTCCATACTTCCTCATCCAACTCTGGCTGAACATCACAAGACAATCTTGTAATTTCTTATACATGTGTACATCTTGTGTTATATCTGTTCTTCTATTAAAACTCTTGACTGATACACCCTACAATCCAGCTTTTTAGGATTAACAGGGAACCTATTTATTTATTTATTTATTTAGTACCAGGGATTGTACTTAGGACCTGGTGCTTGCCAGGCAGCACATATGCTGCTGAGCTATCTCCCTGGTCCTTTTTTTTTTTTTTTTTGTCTTTGAGACGGGTCTTGCTATGTATCTCAGGCTTGAGTACACTTTGTAGCCCAGGTTTGTCTTGAACTCACAACAATCTTCCTGCCTCAGCTTCCATAGTGTTGGAATTAAAGGCATGTGCCAGGAATCCAGTATACTTTGGGAACAAAGAGCTCAATGGTTGTTGCTATACACAGAAACTGCAGTACCACTGAAAGACACCAGAGTGCAGGAGATTACAATCTCTTGCACACACATTCACCCCCCCTCACCCCCCAAAAAACCCCATAAACAGACAACCCTCTCCAATTCAGAAATTATAAACATAAGCCCCAAAAGACATTTCCCAGAAAAGGTTTGAGAAGGTCCCCAAATCTCCCACAGAGTCAACTGGTAAAGGTGTTTTCCTATGTGGACCCAGACTATAAAAATTGAGAGAGGTGGCTGTTTTTCCCCCAAGCCCCAGGAAAAAGCATAACAAAATATGGCTCAGTCAAAGGAACAAACATAACACTCTGGAAACCAACTCTTAAAGAAATAGACATATAACTTAAAGAATTAAAAATATTTTTAAACAAATTCAATGAGCTATAAGAGAAGATAGATGAACAGTTAAATGAGATCAGGAAAGCAGTACAGGAACAAGTGAAAAACTTCTTTTAAGGTCCAGAATTTCTTGAGTGAAAGGATACAATAACCAAAATTCACAGGAGGGCTTCAACTTCAGCCCTAACCAAGCAGAAGAATCAGTGAACTCAAAGATGGGAATTACTACCTCAGAACAAAAAAAAAAAGAACAAAGTATAAAAAGTTAAGCAGACCAACATGTACAGTCTGGGAATTTAAGAAAAGAGTGAGGCTGGTGTCAGTGACCTCTTACTCAGAAATACCTTAAAAGCAAGAAAACATGAAAAATGGATCAAACAGCTGGTAGATGATGCAAAAAAGGCTAAGATTAATTGGAATTAGTGAAAAGTCAAAATATAGCACAAATGCTATTAAAAAATTGTTTACAGAAATAATAAAAAATTATTCCAAATGGGAGGAGAGGTTTTCAACATACAGCAAAGTGTAGCATATAGAACTCCAAATAGCCACAGTGAGAGAAGAAACTCTTCTTGACACATCATTGACAAAATCCAAGAAATCCAATACAAGGATACAGTCGTAAAAGCTGTTAGGAAAAAAAGAACAAATCACTTCTAAAGGTAAACCCATTATAGCAGACGAATTTCAACACAACCTTAATGGGCAGGATAGCTTGGAGTGAAATGTTTCAAGCCCTAAAACTTCTAACCCACACTGATATGTTCTGCAAAAGTGTCTTTCAAAATTGATAGGGATGCCAAATGTAGTGGCACACACCTGTAATCTTAGCATTCAGGAGGCTGGGGCAGAAGGATTGCTGTGAGTTCAAGGCCATCCTTGGCTACACAGTGAAACCCTTTCTCAGGGGGGGAAAAAAAGATGGAGCAGAAGGACTTTCCATGACAGAGCACTTAAGAAGCTGATGAACACCATGCAATAGCAGGAGTAAGTCAGTGCCTTTCAGTAATAATTTTAAATAGTCTCAATTCCTTAATAAAAAGAAAAACTGGCAGATTGGATCAGAAAACAAAATCCAGTGGTATGTTGTTTACAGGGAACACATTTAATGCAAAAGGAAATTAATAGACTAGAGATATTGGAAATAACCCAAATGCCCATCAGTGGATAAATGGATAAAGATGTGGAGTTTTTCTTTTAAAATATAAGGGAGTATTACTCTGTCATAAAGAAGGATAAGGTTGAGATATTTCTTGGTAAATGGGTGTCATTTACCATTTAAGAGACCATACTCCTAAGTGAAATAGGATGCACATGTTTAAATATTGCATTGTGCTGGGTGGGCATGGTAGTGTACACTTAAAATCCCAGCACTTAAGAGGCTGAGGAAGAATGATCATTGCAAGTTATAGGCCAGCCTGGGCTACACAGTGAGTAAGGTCAGACTGAACTGTGTTGTGAAACCATGTCTTAAAAATATAATAAAATAAATAAATACAGTTTTTCTCTGGTATGGGAAATTGAAAGAGTAAGAACCAAAATGTAGGGGGCTGGCAAGATAGCTCAGTGATCTAAAGCGCCTGCTTAGGCAAACTTAGGCAAGCATGCAGGGACCTCGGTTCGATCCCCAGCACCACATGCCATGCCAGCTCTACCCCCACGGTGGGCTGAGCTGACCATAAAAAAAGAAAGGAAGGAAACATTAAAAAAAATTTTTTGTTTAAATTTTTAAAAACCAAAATGTATAACAGATATGAAACAGGAAGAAAATGTCAAAAGGGAAGGGGAACCATGGAGGGGTGAGGAGGAAAGAAAGGAAGGGAAAAAAAGAAGGGGGAAAAATGGAAACAAAGCTTTTGTAAATAAGAAGAGGTATTGAAAGGGGAGGGGATTAGGAAAAAAATCAAGATCTATTGTATGTGGGTACAAATTCCTTGTGATGAATATAATGTATATGTAAAATGTACCAATAAAATTAATTGAAAAGATAAAAATGAAAAAAAAATAAAACCAAATGATTGAGAATAATATGTGCATGGAACATACAGAACCCCAAAACAAGCAGGACTACTTAGCCTGTCTTCAGACAAAGTAGACTTACAGCAAAAAACAATCAGAAGAGGCAATATGTCAGGACATGTTGGCTAAGGGCACAATTCAACAAGGAATAACAGTTAAAACATGTATGGACCACACACTAGCACACCCATCTTCATACAATAAGCACAACTGGACATAAAAGATGAGAGAAACATCACACTTTTATTGGAGGACCTTAGTACTGCACCGCTACAAATAGATCAACTGGACAAAAATTTAAAAGAAAATCCAATACATAGAGACAACCTTGGATAAATGAGCTTAATAGATACCTACAGTGTTCCACCCAAAAACAAATACTACCTATTTTTTTCTCAGCAACATATGGAACTTTCTCCAAAATAGGCCACATATTAGCTCATAGAGTTTAAGAAAATGCAAAAGACATAGCCATAGCTAGATAAATGTGAGCATCTTCTGTTAGAATTATTCTGTAA